GGGGGGGGGGGGGGACTGCCTTCTTGTGGGAGCACTGCGTTTGTATCCGCCGCTTTGTTTAGTTACACATGCATGTTTGAACACATGAAAACAGGCTGTAACAAAGAAAAAAATGGAGGTAGGGGGGCCTCAGGAAGAGGGCCCCTTCGGTGCGACCACGAATTGGAGCACCTTCCAACTCAGCAAGAAATGCAGTGTGTGAGCGTTGATTTACATTGATGAAAAAAAACGAGAAAAGAAAAGAACGATACACGCTGCCGATGTCTCCGACATGCCGATCAGAAGCCTGTACGTAGCGGAGACCGGAACGGTGTTTTTGATGCGCAAACAAAAACAAATACGAACCACAGGAGCGGTGCAGGTATGCAGGAAACATGCAAACTTAACTTGGTCACACGACAGGACACTCGCGTTAAGCGGCAGCAGGGAGATTCCGGAAAACACTTCCGAAAAACGAAAGCAACACGAATGTACTGCGCAGAGGAACACACCACCACCAAGAACCGTCGCCGATAGCGAGTGAAAGTATGCACATCTGTGATCTTATTCATTCTGGACGCCAACACTGGGACACATGTTCGCATGTATCGCGTACAGCAAGCAACATTCCGATCCCCAAACCAAACCTCTCTTCCGGGTGTCGCACATACTATTAACCGTTTTGCAAACTCGCAAACCCGCACCGTGTTGTCGTTGGAGCCGACCACGAGGCGAACGCCATACTTGTTGTCGTTCAGCGTGTTCTCCGTCACCAATGTATGCGATGTCTCCACGAGCGATAGGCCGGCGTCGAAGTTTCCGTACAGCGTGTTTACTGGGGATGGACGGCCAAAAAGAAAAAAACTTGTGTGTAAGTTTCCGTACGGCTTGTTGTTAACTGGCCACGGACGCAAAAAAAATAACAACAGCTGTGTGGAGGTTTCCGTCCGGCACGTTAACTGGGGCCGGACGAACAAAAAAAGAATCAGTTGTGCGCAAGTTTCCGTACGGCGGGTTAACTGAGGATGGACGCAACATTTGTCTCCCAGGTATGTGGAATTTTCCTTACATCAATGACAGCAAGGCTCACTACTGCTGTTCGACTGCATCCGAAGGGGGATGTGCTGGAAGTCTTTTCACTGAGTGTGTGTGGGAGGCTCTTGTCATCGTCTCACATCGGACCGTGGAGTAGTCGCAGCTCTTGTGGAGCATGATGCCACTGCCGCCGTTGTCGTAGGACTCGTTGTCCTCGACCAGAAGGTGGTCGCACCGCTTGGACGCGATGATGCCGTGGTTGCCTGCACGCAGTCCAAGACAACAATAACAACAGCAAAAAACAAACACACGAAACGAAGTTGATGCAGGGCATCAGAAATCGCTGAAAGAGGGCACAGCAGCTGGTACTCCGGCCAGAGTCTTGCGCTCTGCCGCCATCTGTTCTCTGGCTCCTCTTCAGCCCCTTTCTGTCTGCTTGCCTGACTGCTATGTACTGAATGTTTCTCCCTCTCTCTTTCCGTGGCCATCTGTCATCTACCCCTTCTCTTGGCATTCTTGGCCTATGTATTCCTATCGTCATGTCCTGCTCTCTACCCCTCATCTGGTGCAGCTCAACATCACTGTCTACCTGCCCGCCTGGCTGCAATATTTGTCCCTCTCTCTATTCTTGGCCATCTGTTGTCTGTCCCATATCTAGCTTCCCTGTTGCCTATTCCTTCGTCGTGTCGTGCCATATCCCTCGCCTCGTGTCATTTAACGTCACCCTCTGCCTTCCTGTCCATCTCTGTCCCGCTCTTCTTTCCACAACCATCTATTTTCTGGCCCCTCTCTGGTTCCCGTTCGCCTCTTCTCCTGCAGTGCCTCGCTCTCTACAGCAGTTTCTCTCATCCCGTGCCTCTTATCTGTGTCACCGTCTGCCTGCCTGTCTATAACTGCCCCCCCTCTTTCCCGATCTCTCTGAAGCAATCCCCCGCCCTCTTACCGTTGTTGTAGCACGTGTTGCCAGTAATGGTGAGGTAGTCGCTGTCGTCATGTGGGTCAAACCCGTACACGTGGTTGTCTGAAAATACAGAAGTAAGGGGGGGGCGGGGATATCGATGCAAAGCAAGAAGTTAACGGTGACGGTTACTTTTATCTCCCCCTTTCCATCCGCCCCTGCTTCTGTAACTTATCTATAACCCATTCCCGCAGCTCCGTGCTTGCATCCACTATCCCAAAAAATCGCGCATTTATTGTAGGGTCTTTCAGAGCTTCTCCTGCATAAGACTGTCCACACTCCCCCCCCCACCCCCTTCTGCCCCGTCCTCTCGAGGACGCGTGGCCGATGGCATAACCGCTAAGGAATGCCAAGTACAAAGAGTACGGTGTTTGCCATCGGGATTGGGTTTTGGTCGCTTGGTAATGACGTTGTAAAACAAGCCGCCCCCCCTGTGTTTGCCATCGGGGTTGGGTTTTCGTCGCTTGGCAACGACGTTGTAAAACAAGCCAATTCACTTCGTGAACTCGGCAACCAGGTTACCGTTTTTTTTTTTCTCCGTTTTTTTTTTTGGCGGTAACCATAATGGTGGTCGCGTAGATCATGTTGTGCGGGGTGGAGAA